CGACTTAAGGGTACTTTACTAGTTGTCCTAGGTAACCTAAATAATTAAATTAGCAATTTAATTAATTAATTTAAATGTTCAAAACGAAATCCTTACACTAACCTAGTAACTAGTTCAAGAAACATCCTAGTACTTAACCTTGGATGGTCCAAAAGGGTTGATTATGGTTCCAATGACTTAGGTGTACTTTAGTAATTAACCTAGGTACCTTATTAATTAAATTAGAAATTTGATTAATTAATTTAAATGATCAAAATGTAATCCTTAGGAAATTTTTTTAGATTTGATTAAGTATTATGTTTTTACTATTTCTAGTCAATCTTGGAGGGGCTTTTTAGTAATTAACTAATTTATTTATTTAATTAACTTAATTAGCCTAAGTTTAATGAGTAAAAATCAGTTCCTAAGGCTTAGAATCACGTTAAAATACTTGGTAATACAGAACGCTAAAATAGTAAGCAAGCGAGCGAAAGAAAGACAAAAAGTTCCATTGATTCTCTTAGGTGATTTCAAGGTTTTATTCAAGGTTTCATGCAAGGTGGTCTTCGTAGATTAAGTTCTACATAAGGTATGGGTTTCCCTCCTAGAATTATTTCTCCAAGAGTAATATAAATTCTTTTTAGAACGAGTTATCATTCCCAATGGACTTATGATCAACTTATTTTCAAACTTAATTCCACAACTGAAAATAAAAGTAACTATTTCAAGAATTGATGATTGATTGTGAACTATAACTACCTTAACAGTGAATAAAAGTAAGAAGATTTGAACGACTTAAAGATGATGTATCAAGCAAGAAAAAGACAATTTCCAATGCTGCAACTTACGTTGAATCTCATATATCATAGTATTGACTTAGAACTAATTTTGGTTATCAAGTTACTGGTTTATTGGGTTAATTATATGAGTCTGGTTATACACCTCTCGTCGCCTACTCCAATTAGATACTTAACTACATAATTAAGCGGGGATAAGTAAGCTAATTGGCGAGAATTTATATTTCATCCTATTTCGTAACCAAGCAAGTTGTTTGTTCGGGCGTCACTCCTGAACACAAATCACCTCAATCTAATGGGTCGATCGAGCTCTCTATATTCTTTGGTCTATCTAACCACTCCCCTCTCAATTTTAAGATTATACAATAGATTTATCTCATGGTGATCAAACACGAAATACTAAAACAAGAATATAGAAGTAACTTGTGTTGACAACCAAGAATTAATTCAAAAATCAAATAACATTCAACATTCAATTTGTAGAAGAAGCCCTAGAACTAGGGCGATTAGCTACTCATAATATTCAAAGACCACAAAAGACAATTGTTCATGCGATTTCCAAAAAATAAAAAGAGTTAGAAGATTAAAACCTATTGCAAACTTGGATTCTTGATGTTGCATACTAATAAAAAAGTTGAATCCTAACAATGAGGTCCTAAGGGTATATTTATAGTAAATAAGAAAATAAAGTCGAATTCAACTTCAATTAGGAGTCCTTTTAAAATCAGCTTTCTTTCCAAACTCCGCAAAAAGCTGGGCGCGCCGCGCTGCCAGTTTGCCTTAGATAATCTGTAGTCAAAATGGCCTGGCGCGTAGGTGCGCCAGTATCTGGTTAAGCAGCGTCTTTTCGCCTTTAACTTTTTTTCCTTCCAACACTCGAACATTTCCCTTAGTAACTTGAAAAGTCACTAATCATGTATATTAATGTGCAATCATTGCAATCTAAAGCTAAAACAAGCTAGTGAGGTTAGATAATGTCCTAAACTAACGTTAAAGATGAGTAATTTGTCGTAATTGGGCATATATATATGCTCAAAATCACCACCCCACACTTAAACATTTGTTAGTGCTGGAACAACTCTATCTTATCAATATATGCTCTTAACCCTTTGGACTCTTCACCTAACTTCACAATCGACCAAATATATTTAATCATGACTTTGTAACACACTTTATGCACTTTCAACTATTCTTTACAGTCTACCACTCAAACAATTCACAACCTCGATGCCTGACTTCTCTCAAGTAATTGTAGGCTAATGTAACATCATACATACATACCACAAGATTAAGCACCAAAAATGTTTCGTTAATGCCCTCACCAATATAATTGTAACCTTTATTTTACCACCAACAATCAATTGATTCATTATAGTATAAGACCATTTTTTATAACATGCTCTCTCACTCCCAATTGAAGTTCTACAATGTCCTAACATGCCATAAGCTTGCCTTTAGTGTACTTCTAGTTTTCACAAAATGTTTAGATGGAATCAAGAGGAATTTTATTCGGTTGTAATGTTAGCTCTGGGTAAGGAAGGATGTATTTGGGTAAAGTTTAGTGATTCATTCTCCCTAATGCACATGTGTTGTTTTTCCTTACTAACATTTTCAACTTTTTCTTTCCCTATTACATATTTTCCACTTTACTTCAGTTTGTACTTGAGCCCCTTCTTTTTGAACATCCCTTTTTGTACATCCATCTTTATTTTTATCTTTTTTTAAGCATTTGGGGTCTCATTTGTGTACCTTTTCTTTTCTTTTCTTCTCCACAAACTACTACCACCCTATTTATTTCAACCAAAGTTGTCATTTTTCAACTCAACATAGTGCCTTAGAGATTTATTTTGGATTGAACAATGGTATCAAGAAAAGGTATTTGTCTACATTAAGTGGTTTAGAACAAAGTAATGTTACAAGGCTCAAAGGCTACACTAGGGATGTTTTATTTGGAAGCATATAAATGACATTCAAACTTGGATATTCAAAGACACACCTCAATCACATTCCACAATTCACACAAGTTATTCATTAGGCACACATGGAGCAAGTTCTAGATGTTATTCAATGCAAGACTAACAAATATTCTCACACATAGCATCACTTCAAACATAAGGGCTCAACTTATAGCATGTTCACATATAATGCATTACGGTGTATCCACACAATTAAGCCCATTTTCTTTATTTTCACTTAGAGTCAACACAAAGAGATTATGCTTGTTTTCATGGTTAATATCTCACTGATGCACACGAAGTTCCGTCACCCATGACGTCTACCCAACCATCCATACAAGGTTTCAAAGTGCCAAAGATATGGGTTTCATACTTTTACTCTTCATGACTAATTTACCCTTAAGATGATCGTCATCCATCTATCATTGGGAAATGTCATTTCTAGACGACTCTAAGACTCGATAAAGTAATAAACTAGACCTAAATGGTTCAAAGGGGCTGTCCTCGGGAAAAGAACTTATAACAAAATGTAAGGAACCCTACTAAAAATCAAAAAACACTCGATAAAGCAATAAACTATATACAATGAAGTTCAACTTCCACCCCACACTTAAAGAATACACTGTCCCTAGTGTTCAACAGTAAAATGAAGGACAAAGGTAAAAGAGAACTATCCGTCGGCCTCTAGGATGCGTTCGAAGCATCATCTCCAGTATCAATGGCCTCGAACTTATCCTCCGCCAAGCTATCATCCTCATCAGTGTCATCATCATCGATGGGTTCTTGGAACGCCGGACCCATTCTGCACATGTGCATTACACTATCTGTCAACGGGTCAACTAGTGTGTCCATCTCCTCCTTAGTCACAGGGCGACCACCTATGCACAACTGCAATTCCTCTATGCCAAACATGCGCCCCATACAACTACCATCACGAGTTTGCCTATTGATAACAGTCAAAATAGTCTCGTGAGAGGGATCATGCGCTTTGGTGCGCATGGAATCAACTGGGTGGAAATACCAGATGGGGGGCACGGGGAGGGCAGACATTATGAACGTCCTCCTCAATAATAATGCTCTTACATACCTAGTGATGATGCTGCAATAACAGAAACACCATCGCTTGTTGGTCCTAAATTTTAGCATATTCTTCCTTAAAAAAGCCCCCACATAGCCCTTCATTAACCGATATATGAGCACCACTCCGTCCCATGTAATATCGGTCATGTGTTTTCCCATTAGTAAAGTATTACATATAATCTTCAACCAAATCCTAGACTCTAAGTTATGGTGTCCATAGTGAAGTGTCAAGTGACGACCCGTGTCCCACTCTATCCCACATAGCAATATAAGTCAACCCACATAATGTATGACGTATATCACGATACAGGGGTTGTTCAACCATGGCTACAAACTCAGCACGGTCATAATTTGGGGCATCCAAAAAGTCATTTAGAGCTTCAATAGAAAAATGCACCCCACTATTTCTAACATACCCACTGTTTATCTCAACCCGACGAGTATTCCAATTAGCATAAAATTCACATACCAAACTCAAATTACACTCACCTTGATTTACAAAAGAAAATTAAAGTCCCAACGCAGTGATTTTGGCGTGAATTTTGGGAAATTCACGGCGTAATTTATCTTCCTCCACGTACTCATCGCCGAGGTACTTGGACTTTTTTGGTCCTTGTACCAATATGTGACATAATGCATAACCATTTGCTACCAAACTTGAGGGGTGGCAAATTAGGGTCTTCCCGACTTGAACTTCGGGCAACCACCCCTTTCTTAGTCCTTTTTATTCCCAAACCACTAGCTACCTTTTTACCTTTTGAAGCCATCACAAAACCCAAGAAAAGGAAGAACTAGGAAAAGCAAAGAAAGAGGAAAATTTGGAAAAAATGGAGGGGTTTCCGGTTGGGTTTCTTGTTTGGTTTGTGAGATTTGGTGGATTGGGGTGGTTGTGGTGGTAGATTGTAGAAAAAAAGAAAAAAAATTAGAAAGTTTTGTCAACAAAAATGAAGTAATTTCATTTGTGTGGGAGAGAAGATGGGGGAAAGAAATAAAAAAGGAGAAGAAAGATGTTTGAGGAAAATTAAGTGAATAAGGGGTGGTGGTGGAACGGTTATAGAGGGGTAATTTTGGGAATTGGGGAATTTTAATAGGTAGGTGGGACGGTGGGAAGGTTGGTATATTTTGTGGGTCCCACGAATAAAAATTAACTTTTAAAAATTTTCTTTTTTTGTAGATCGGAGGCAGCACGCTAGATTTGCTCCTGGAAAGTACTCATGTTGAACTCCAGCCGTGTGCTCCAAACAGGACCTAGTCGAAAAGGTCCTGGTGCAGCACACCAGCAGTGCGCCTGAGCCTTTGGCACGGCACGCTGATAGTGCAAAACAAACAAGCCTCAGTCAAAAGGAGCCTGGTGTGGCGCGCATGCAATGCACTACAAACGTGCCTCGGTTAAAAGGGGCCTGGCGCAGTGCGCCTGCCGTTCGCCACAAACAGACCTCAGTTAAAAGGGTTCTAACGCGACACGCCTGCCGTTCGCCACAAACAGACCTCAGTTAAAAGGGTTCTAACGCGACACGCCTGCCATTGGCGTTCTGCTTTCTTTGTGATGCATTTGGGGCGTGCTACATTGCTAATGTGCTGAAAATCATCTCTGAACTAATCCCTTGGCATGACATGCTAGATTTTTTGCCCACACTGTATTCCTCAACATAATACCTCTAATTTTGGGTACCTCCTTCTCCTTTTTCCTACACATCAATCGAACAATGTGACATAAAAATGGTGGGTTGCCTCCCACCTAGTGCCTTAGTTTTGGTCGTGACACGACTCATATTTTTGAATTATTTTTCTTAATTATATCTAAGGACCTATTTTAACTAACAAATAAGAAAATTTAAAAAGTCTATGCATACGAAACTAAGCTAAATTTACCAAATTAAGCCTAACTACTACCTATTACATCGACTTCATGGGTTGCCTCCGAAGTAGCGCTTGGTTTAACATCACAACACAACACAACTTAGATAATTCATCATTTATCTCAAGAGCCTCCCAATCATGATCTGAATCAACACCAAAGTAGTGTTTCACTCTTTGCCCATTCACCAAGAAGGTAGGTGCAGTCTCTCCTTTTAGTTCCATAGCCCCGTGTGGTGTCATTCTTACCACTTCAAAAGGTCCACTCCATTTCGTCCTTAGTTTTAATGGGAATAACCTATGTCTAGAGTTGAAGAGTAGTACCTTCTCTCCCAGATTGAAGGTATGAGTTACTATGTCCTTATTATGCCACCTCTTCGTCTTCTCTTTATACAGCTTGAAATTCTCATAAGCGTGACGTTTAAACTCTTCAAGTTCATGCAAATTATCCACTCTCTTTCTATCGGCTAGCTCAGGGTCCAAGTTCAACTTCTTAATCGCCCAATAAGCTTTGTTTTCTAATTCTGCCGGAACATGACATGCTTTCCCAAATATGATGTAATAGGGAGAAGTCCCTATGGGTGTCTTATAAGTAGTCCTATAAGCACAAAATGCGTCGTCTAATTTCTTAGACCAATCTTTCCTTTGCGCATTCACCATCTTCTGCAAGATTTGGTTTACTTCTCTATTAGATACCTCCACTAGACCACTTGTTTGCGGATGGTACGAAGTAGAAACCTTATGAAGAATTCCATACTTAGCATGAAACGCCCGATGTTACCGACCGTGTGCGCAGTCCAAGGGCGGTGATGTCATTCCACGACCGACGTCGTCCAACCGTGCATGAAGTCCAAGGGCGGTGATGTTAAGCCATGCCCGACGTCGTTCGACCGTGTGTGCTTTCCAAAGACGGTGATGGCATGACACGCCTGACGTCGTTCGATCGTGTTTGTTATCCAAGGGCAATGATGGCATCCCACGCCCGACGTTGTTCGACCGTGTGTGCTTCCCAAAGGCGATGATGTCATCCCCCATCCTACGTCGTTCAACTCTTTGTGTTGTTCAAAGGCGGTGATGCCATGCCACACCCGGTGTAGTCCGACTGTGTGTGCTGCCGATGGCGGTGATGTCATCCCATGCCCGACATTGTCGACCGTGTGTGCTGTCTAAGGGCGGTGATGTCATACCACACCCGACATTACCGGTCGTGTGTGCTGTCCAAGGGGGGTGATGTCATGCCACGCCCGACGTTGCTAACCGTGTTTGCTGTCCAAGGACGGTGATGTCATGCCACGCCCGACGTCGTCCAACCATGCGTGCTGTCCAAAGGCGGTGATGGCATGTCACGCCCTACGTCGTTCGACCGTGTGTGCTGTCTAAAGGAAGTGATGTCATGCCACGACCAACGTCGTTTGACCGTTTGTGCTGCCCAAAGGCGATGATGGCATGCCACGCCCAATGTCGGGCAAAAATATGTGTTGTCCAAGGGCGGTGATGTCATGCCATGCCCGACGTCGTTTGACCGTGCGTGCTGCCTAAAGGCGAAGATGGCATGCCACGCCCAATGTCATCCGACCGTGTGTGCCGTCCAAGGGCGGTGATAGCATGCCACGCCCGACGTCGTCCGACTGTGTGTGCTGTCCAAAGGCGGTGATGTCATGCCACGCTCGACATTGCCGATCGTGTGTGTTGTCCAACGGCGGTGATGTCATGCCACGCCCGACTTCGTCCGACTGTGTGTGCTGTCCAAAGGCGGTGATGGCATGTTACACTTGACGTCGTTCGTCCGTGTTTGCCGTCCAAGGGCTATGATGGCATGCCACGCCTGATGTAGTTCAACCGTGTGTGCTATCCAAAGGTGGTGATGTTATGCCACGCCCGACGTAGTTCGACCGTGTGTGCTGCCCAAGGGCGGTGATGTGATGCCAGTCCCAACGTCATCCGACCGTGTGTACTGTCCAAGGGCGGTGATTTCATGCAACGCCCGCTGTTGCCGACCGTGTGTGCTGTCCAAGGGCGGTGATGTCATGCCACGCCCGATGTTGCTGACCGTGTGTTCTGTCCAGCGACGGTGATGTCATGCAACGCCCGAGGTCGTCCAACCGTGCGTGCATTCCAAGGAAGGTGATGTCAAGCCAAACCTGACGTCGTTGGACTGTGTGTGCTTTTCAATGGCGGTGATGGCATGTCACGCCCGACGTCATTCGATCGTGTTTGCCGTCCATGGGCTATGATTTCATGCTACCACCGATGTCGTTCGACCGTGTGTGTTGCCCAAAGGCGATGATGGCATGCCACGCCCGACGTTGTTCAATAGTGTGTGGTGTCCAAAGGCGGTGATGTCATGCCATGCCAGATGTAGTCCGACCGTGTGTGTTGTCCAAAGGCGGTGATGGCACGTCACGCCCGACGACATTCAACCGTGTGTGCTGTCCAAAGGCGGTGATTTCATGCCATGCCAGACGTAGTCCTACCGTGTGTGTTGTCCAAGGGTAGTGATGTCAAGACACGCCCAACGTTGCCGACCATGTGTGCTGTCCAAGGGAGGTGATGTCATGCCACGCCCGACGTCGTCCAACCGTGCATGCAGTCCAAAGGCGGTGATTTCAATCCACGCCCGACGTTGTTTAAACGTGTGTGCTTTTCAAAGGCGGTGATGGCATGTCACGCCCGACGTCGTTCGATCGTGTGTAATGCCAAAAGGCGATGATGGCATGCCACGCTCGACGTCGTTCGACAGTGTCTGCTGTCCAAGGGCGGTGATTTCATGCCACGTCCGACGTCGTCCGACTGTATTTGCCAACCAAGGGCGGTGATGGCCTGCCACGCCTGACGTTGCCGACCTTGTGTGTTGTCCAAGGGCGGTGATGTCATGCCATGCCCTAAGTTGCCGACCGTGTGTGCTTTCCTAGGGCGGTGATGTCATGCCACGCCCGATGTCATCCCACCGTACATGTAGTCCAAGGGCGGTGATGTCTTGCCACGCCCGACATCATTCACCGTATGTGCTGTCCAAGGCGGTGATATCATGCCACGCCTGACGTTGCCGACCATTTGTGCTGTCCAAGGGGGGTGATGTCATGCCACGCCTAACGTCATTCGACCGTGTATGCTGTTGAAGGGCGGTGATAACATGCCACGCCCGACGTCGTCAGACCGTGTGTGTAGTCCAAGGGAGGTGATGTCATGCCACCCATGACATTGTCCGACCGTGTGTGCTGTCTAAGGGTGGTGATGGCAATCCACGCCCAACGTCGTTGACCGTGCGTACTGTCCAAGGGCGGTGATGTCATGCCATGCCCGACGTCATTCAACCGTGTGTGCTGTCCAAGGGCGGTGATAACTTGTTACGCCCGACGTCGTCAGACTATGTGTGTTGTCCAAAGGCGGTGATGTCATGCCACGCCTAACGTAGTCCGATCGTGTGTGCTGTCCAAGGGCGGTGATGTCATGCCACGCCCGACGTTGTCAGACCGTTTGTGCTGTCCAAGGGCGGTGATGTAATGCCACGCCCGACGTAGACCGACCGTGTGTGCTTTCCAAAGGCAATGATGGCATGCCACGCCCGACGTCATTCGACCGTGTGTGCTGTCCAAGGGTGGTGATGTCATGCCACGCCCGACGTAGTTCGACCGTGTGTGCTACCCAAGGGAGTTCATGTAATGTTACTCCCGACGTCCATGCCCGACTTTGCCAACCATGTGTACTGTCCAAGGGCGATGATGTCATGCCACGCCCGACATTGCCGATCGTGTGTGCTGTCCAAGGGCGGTGATTACATGCCACGCACGACGTTGCTGACCATGTGTGCTGTCCAACGGCGATGATGTCATGCCACGCCCGACGTCGTCCAACTGTGCGTGCAGTCCAAGGAGGGTGATGTCATGTCACGCCCGACGTTGTTCGATCGTGTTTGCCGTCCATGGGCTATGATGTCATGCCACGCCCGACGTCGTTCGATCGTGTGTGCTTCGCCAAGGCGATGATGTCATGCCACGCCTGACCTAGTCCGAGTGTGTGTGCTGCCCAATGGCAATGATGGCATGTCACGCTCGACGTTGTTCGACCGTGTGTGGTGTCCAAAGGCGGTGATGTCATTCCATGCACGAGGTAGTTCGACCGTGTGTGTTGTCCAAATGTGGTGATGGCACGTCACGCCCGACGTCGTTCGATCGTGTTTGCTGTCCAAAGGCAGTGATGTCATGCCACGCCCGACGTCGTTCGATCGTGTGTGCTGTCCAAAGGCAGTGATGTCATGCCACGCCTGACATAGTCTTACCGTGTTTGTTGTAAAAAGGCGATGATGTCATGCCACGCCCGACGTTGCCGACAATCTGTGCTGTCCTAGGGCGGTGATGTCATCCTACGCCCGACGTCCTCCAACTGTGCGTTCAGTCCAAGGGCGGTGATTTCAATCCACGCCCGACGTTGTTTGAACGTGTGTGCTTTCAAAAGACGGTGATGGCATGTCACGCCTGACGTCGTTCGACCGTGTGTGCTGCCTTAAGGCAATAATGGCATGCCACGCCCGACGTCGTTCGATCGTGTGTGCTGCACAAGGGCGGTGATGTCATGCCACTACCGACGTCTTCCGACTGTGTGTACTGTCCAAGGGAGTTGATTTCATGCCACGCCTGACGTCGTTCGACCGTGTGTGCTGTCCAAGGGCAGTGATGTCATGCAACTCTCGATGTTGCCGACCGTATGTGTTGTCCAAGGGCGGTGATGTCATGCCTTGCCCGACGTTGCCGAACATGTGTGCTGTCTAAGGGCGGTGATGTCATGCCACGCTTGACGTCTTCCGACCATGCGTGCAGTCCAAGGGAGGTGATGTCATGCCGCGCCCGACGTTGTTTGACCGTGTGTGCTGCCCAACGGCGATGATGGCATGCCACACCCGATGTCATTTTACTAAGTGTGTTGTCCAAAGGAGGTGATTGCATGTAACACCCGATGTCAATTGATCGTGTGTGCTGTCCAAAGGCAGTGATGTCATGCCACGCCCAACGTCATTTGACCGTGTTTGCTGCCCAAAGGCGATGATGGAATGCCACGCCAGACGTCGTTCAACTGTGTGTGCTGTCCAAAGGCGGTGATGTCATGCCACGCCTGACATCGTTCGACTGTGTGTGCTTTCCAAGGGTGGTGATGTCATGCCACAGCCGACATTACCGACCGTGTGTGCTGTCCAAGGGCGGTTATTTCATGCCACGCCCGACGTTGCTGACCGTGTGTGCTAGCCAAGGGCGGTGATGTCATGCCACGCCAGTCATTACCGATCGTGTGTGCTATCGAAGGGCGGTAATGTCATGCCACGCCCGACGTTGCCGACCGTGTGTGCTGTCCAAGGGCGGTGACGTCATGCCACGCCCGACATTACCGACCGTGTGTGTTGTCCAAGGGCGGTGATGTCATACCACGCCCGACGTTGCCGACTGTGTGTGTTGTCCAAGGGCGGTGATGTCTTGCCACGTCAGACGTTGCCAACTGTGTGTGTTGTCCAAGGGAGGTGATGTCATGCCACGCCTAACATTACCGATTGTGTTTGCTGTCCAAGGGCAGTGATGTCATGCCACACCCGACGTTGCCGTCCGTGTTTGCTGTCCAAGGGCGGTGATGTTATTCCACACCCGACATTACCGACCGTGTGTGCTGTCCAT